TTTTCTCCTGCTGATGTGTCAACTCAGTTTACAACTGTACATATATTCCGTTAGTATCGTAACTTTCGAAGTCAGTTGCTGATGTGTCAACTCAGTTTACAACTGTATATATATTCCGTTTGTATTACACCTTTGAAGTCAGTTAGCTTACAATTGTACATATATTCCGTTTGTATCATACCCTTGAAGTCAGGTGTTTTCACTTGAAACAAACTCCCTATCTTGCCCAGTATTGACAAAACACAAAACGGAAACAAAACCAACACTGGCTGCAAAAGCATATACTCCGTTTGTATCATACCTTTGAAGTCAGGTTTTTTTCACTTGAAATCTATCTCGCCCAGTATTGACAAAACACAAAATTGAAACAAAACCAATACTGGTTGCAAAACAGGGAGCTTAAACACAAAATGGAAATAAAGCCAACACTGGCTGCAAAAGAGGGAGTTTGTTTTAGGCCGGTCTTCGAGGTTTTGGAAGGCGCCCAAGAGGTGCACTACCAACTCTTTATAATTGCCTGTAAACTGACTGAAACAAAACCAATACTGGCTGCGACATAGGGAGTTTGTTTAGGTTTTTTTAGGTTTTGGAAGGCGCCCAAGAGGTGCTTTACCAACTCTTTAAAATTGCCTGCAACCTGGCATAATAAACATATATATACAAAGTCCAGTTGGACGTGACTGAACCTTGTATCGGGGCCGGCGAAGGTACTAGTGGGAGCTTTGTTGCGCCGTTGGACCTCACTTCACTGACTGCCGAAAGAAGTCCGTAGCCAAGTTTTTAGATCCTTGTGCATCCGAATCCAGATGAAACGATTGAAAACCAGCTTGTCAGTAGCTAAACTCTCAGCCTACAAAGGTTTTTAGGGGAGAAGAAAACGTTGTGGCAGTGGAATGGTGTCACAAGGGGAGATGGTGGCGACATCATAGATGATGGTGCCGTTGTCAGCAATCCGTGGAAGTTCCTGGAGTTCGACTCCAGAAACATCCTCGTCACAGGCTGAGGCAACGCGGCATTGTCCAGCAGCTATCACAGAAAGGTCGATCATCGGATTTGGAAACTGGCAACGAAGGGGCTGGACAGTAAATTAACTATCTCATTGCGTAACCGGTTGATGTGGCGGATGTTTGAGGTGAACTGAGCGATAAACTTAACCGGCGAACCTCCTGTGGGTTTAACTTGTCTGAATTTTAATTTCAAGGCAAAGAAAACTAACTTACGGTCAGAAAACATGGTGAAGTCTCTGCTCTCAAGGAATTACCGGAAGTATTTCACGATGAGGTATACAGCAAAAAGCTCCGGCATAAATGTGTTATAGCGCGATTCGGCAGGTGTAAAAAGCTAAGAGTTGGGTCTGACCTGCAACGTGCTGCAGCTTTGGAGCTCTATAGGTGCTCCGTGAGTGGCCTAATGGTGCCGGCACGGGTAGGGATGAACCAGCGGTAGAGTTTCACCATGTCGAGAAATCGTTTCGGTTGACGCTTTTAAGTGGTAGTTGGATGGCAACGACCTTTGAGGGGACAAAAAGGTTGCCGTTGTTGTCAAACATGTACCCAAGGAATTCATATGAGGTAACGCCGGGAAAGCACTTGGAAGGGTTGTGGACAACGCTAAATGGTTGGAGACGGTTACACATCGTTGCAAAATGCTCCATGTGGTCGGCGTTTGTGGAAATGACTACCAGTACATGGCCAATGTAGATGTAGAAAAAGGAATGCTTCAAAGAACTCTGTCTACGAGCGTGTGGAAGGTTTAGGAAGCGTCGCAGAATACTAATAGCATATGCAGGAACTTGTAGCGACCTTGTACTCTAACAAATGCATGTCCCGCATGTCTGGCTTTCGCGTGCGCCAGCGCGTACGCGCCGGCAGTGCCAAGGTCGGGACTTGTTTGGCCTCACTAGCCAATCACTTCTCAAGGTTAGACCAGTGCACAAAATGCGGGGGAGTTGTTTACGTTCAGTCACTCCCGGAATCGACGACCTTCTGTTCGGTTGTGATTGTCCGGACACGGTGATCTACCTGCCGGACTGCGCCTCTGGACCCCGGCCCATTCATGGCTGGACTACATTTGTCTGGGAGTCACTTGCATGTTACTTACATTCTACGCTTGTTACCTCTTATTAAATTATCCATAACAATCTGGCCTTTCACGCCTTATCATATCTACTAGCTTATAAATGTTGGGATACGGTACATCGCCTATTATCTGACCGGAGCACATCGTATCCCACAAACTTAAAGAGGCCAGAGGGGGAGGTGACGACTGTCTTTGAAAGTTCCTCTGGGGCAGTGGCGATCTGATGAAGGACGCGGACCAGGCCCACTTTCGAGAACAC